AATCAAGCCTAGGGAATCAAGCATATCTGTGCCTGAAATCCGAATCAAGCCTAGGGAATCCAGATCTACATCCATCTAGTTGCTTTTTCCACCTCCTCGGGCCCGCCTCTTGAGCCAGCTTGGGGTCCACGGGCCCTTGGCAGGGCGCCCTTTTGGTGTCAAACCCATTGGGAACGGGAGGTCTTCAGACGCAGTCCAGGGTCTGAAGCAAGCTCAAGGTCCTTCAGCAGCTGATAGTGGGGGTAGTAGGTCAGGTAGGGTGTCAGGTTCTGAGGAAGGCAGTGCATTTGCTGATGTGAAACACAGCAAATGCGTGTTCCTCTCACACTGAAGTTGGATCCGCTCGTCGATCTGCGTTCTTCACGCCCTCTGAAAGGGCGCCATCTGTCAATCGCAAGGGTCGCTTTTGGGGACACCAAGAGGCGAGTTGGAAGTCACCAATTGAGTTGACACCATGGCATTACTTCCGGGGTCTGACTTGGTGCATTGAGGAACCAGGAGGAACCATGGCCGATGACGGGAATTGTATCAATGGACCTGCTTGCCTTATAGGAAAATTATCCAAGCGGATGAAATGTCAACCGCAAACACCCTGGCAAATCGTTCCCATACAAAGTGGATGAACCTCAGGATATCTGTTTCAGGCTTCGCAAGCCCGGCTCACATCACTGAAAGCCAGAAAAACGGACACAACATGGAGTGGCTTCCCACTGCACCCCTCACAATTCCTGCCGCCCACTCGTAGCGTCCTTTCTCGCCCAGTCGGCGACAATTTCAGCCGCACAGTTCTTTGCACTCGGCTGAAGATCTACAGACCAGCAGGATCAGCTACAGTTGAGGCCTCGGAAGGTCAATCCAAGCTGAGTCGTTTCTCCCTGACATCGGAAAATTTGTGGATGCCATGGCCAGTTTCATTGGATGAAACCATGGGGCCATGAAAGAAACCGAATTCCGAAGACCCCAAATCCGCCCCAGCACCGAAACGGCGGTGCTGGGGTGTAGTCAATCGCAAGAGGTCAGCTCAGCAGCTGGGGGGCCTTTATCGGCCAGTGTTTAAAGGTTATTGAACATCGAGCGCAAAAAATGTCTTAAATATAAGAATTCGATGAAGGTTTTGGGACACGCAAATGTTTGAGGCGTTCTTGAAAATGTGTTAAAACCATAAAAACGTTTGGTCTTTTGTTAAGATTTGGTCAAAAATACCAAGGTAGAACCAGCATCAACAAACACCAGCGGCTTCATGGTACGGCTCTAGCGGGCTGGGTTCGTATTAGCCAGGTAGAACCGGGATGATGGGAATTCATGTGTTTTATTCCAGCACTCAGAACATCTTTTGAAAAGCAGTTGAATCTAGCCACCACCAGTGCTTGCAACGATAACTCCACAGGTACCCCGGTGTGGGCGGACCCCGCCACGCTACGCGGCAGCCACGGTGGGTGCTATCGGAATGTACACCGTTTTGCCCTCCAACGACTCGACCAACTCGTCAATCACCATCACCTGCATCTCCTTTTCAAAACATACAAGTGGGAAGTCAAGAAGGACACAGTTGGAGACCCAGACGTATGGATGTTCAGTCCATACCATGATTGTATATATAAATACACACAATTTCTTCAAGTTGAATGACCCCCATTGGGTGTACAGTTGCAAACATAGACACCTCTCCAATTCCACTGCGAGGTGAATCCTCCACGAGACTGCGTGTGCTTCACTGGTGCAACCCCTCCCGGCTTTGGGCGCTTCCAGAAAGTAGACATAGAACATGGCTCACAAACGCTCACCTCTCTTGGACCACATTGTCCGGCTATTCCCACATCAATATTATAAACTCACACAGTAACTTGCAAATCGATCAAACAAAGCTGTACCGTCGAACAATGACCACTTCCAACTGCACTCTAATGAATGATGACGTGGCAGCTCGACAACGAAACCAAAACGACACGTGGCTCCACGTCCGACACCACGTGACTCCACGTGAAGCGACACCGTGTGTGTTTTCAGCTCCGGCGCACCTCATGCTTCTTGCACGTGGCCCAGGTGGCCCGCTGATCTGTCCTGAGTTTTTGCGACGCGAAGAAAGGCTCGTCGAGGTGACCTGAAGAGATGACGACGACGGACGAACCTTTGGCCACAGGTCATGGTGCAGGATTTGGCCACAGGTCTTTCCAACGAAAGATACTCCCACATGCAGCCAAAATGGCCCAAGAGGCTTTGGCCCAACTTTCTAGGGCAGCGATTTTCCAGAAAAAGGGACCTTGGCGAATGCTTGTCTCAAACTTTTCACGTCGTTCGTCGTTCTACAGATTTTCTCTTCCACATAGGATCTGTTGATCCCACCCCGCGTGAACACATTCACTGCGGGGTGGAGGGAGCACAACTACCCTGCTGCGCTTGGAAATTACCAATCATCAGCTTGGGAGTTGTGAGTCTGTGAGTCTCCAAAACATCTGTTGCAGAGTTGCAAGCCTTCAAAGCCGGCCTCTGGGCCAAAAAGAAGGAAATACTTATACAAGTTTTGCAGGAATCAAAAAGGAAGTGCTAGTGATTGTGTAGGGTTTGCTTTCAAAAGATCCTGCCTGTACTCTTCCAGACCTATGAGAAGAAAAGTAGTCGGTACCAATGCCATGCCCAATCAATGGGGCCTGGGGCCCTTGGGGGTTTGACTTACATGGCGACCAAATTGAGATCCCAAGCCAAGCTGCGCTCTGCCCTTGGGCTGGCACTTCGGGCGGTTGGCTTTCAACTGCCAACGACAAATGGAAGGTAACAAGACTCGAGATCGTGGCTTGACAAAGAGCCTCTTGATGTAGAGAGAGTAGGAAGACTGAAAGAAACTCTACTAGAAAGAAAGAATTTTCACCGAATTGAACCACAATGAATAATGTATGCTTCAGATACACAACAAACTTGGGATACACCAAATCCTATCCCATAAGGAGGAGCCCCTTTTCCTCTTCTCCAACCACCTTCTTCCCACCCTCCCGCCGTCCACACCTGCGTCCACGCCGTCCGCACCTCGGAAGAAGGCCCAGTGCTTGGGTGCTGTGCGCCGCCACCCACAGCTGGAGCGCCAAGCAATGCGCAGCAGGGAGCGGATCGGCACAAACCATGAGGCCGATGCGCAGAAGAGGCTCAGCAAAGCCTCGGTTTGCACAGGACCGGGAGGACCGGAAACGTGGCCAATAGGGGTTTTCAGTAGCTGAGGTAGCTCTTAGATGGTACCTTTTTTCTGCACACAAACCTCCACGCCCGGCACACCGTTTTTCGCCATCCGAAGGGGTGCGTCGGATCGTTGGTGAGTGAACTCGAGATCTGCGGATCGTTGCTGGTGCTGGGATGTCTCGCAAGGAAGGCCTGCCCTTTATTTCATACCGAGGTGCTGCCACCAGCAGCAACTTCGCTGTCACTACAATCCACCTGCACAGTGTGGCCAGCTTGAGCTGGATTGAAAAGAAACAACCAATCCGAAATAATCAGGGGAAAATGAAAATGCCCCCCCTTTTCGCTACCTTCGTGACAAATGCCAATAGAGTTCAAGTCAGCAATCTCCAGTCTGCTCGCCATGTCCCCACCCTTGGATCAAATTGCATGGTCTGGGCCCAAAAAAGCTCCAATCCAAGGATACAAAGGCTTGAACCGACAGTTCAACTCGAAACCAAACCGGTACAAGGAAGTCCACTTCTTCCAAACTGTGGGGTTTTGCTGCCTTATGTACCTCTTCCAACATTTTCGTTCGGAGCTACACGAGACGCGTGGAGTGACTCAGGCGGTTTCACAACGACCAACTCCCCGGTCCCTGACGACCGGCATCTGCCTGACGACTGACTTGGCGATGGCAGCACCCGTGGTGGAGTCCATACAACACTCCAGCACGAAGGCAGCAGTCCTGGCACCAGCAGTGGGGGTGGTCCAAAGAAGGAATGCCTTCTTTGGACCTATGATCCTGGAATCAAGAATGCAACATGTTGAAGCCCGTGATGCTGTCAAGTTGCATCAAACAACCAGAATTGACTGGTGAGCACTGCAAGTGTCTTTATGTTGATTAACTCCAAGCAGACGGATTTCCAAATGCATATATAAGTGATCTCCACGGCTTTGCTGATGAGCAAACAGCATCTCTAGAACAGCCTTATTACTCCATGCAGAAAAATATCTCAACACAGATCTCAAGGTATCTGCTTGGCTGCACGTGAATGGCGACTGTCTGAGACACCCGACGATGCAGCTGAAACCAAAAGGAGAACGAATAGCAGCGCCAACCTGGGAGAGAGGAACGCTGTTCAAAAAGAGCCATCCATCTTGGGCCATGGCTGCCACGTGTGTGTGTGAACAGTAAAAAAGCGAGACTGCTACGTGACTGGCAAAGAAGAACACAGATTGCGTTACATAAATCCTTTTTGGATAACTCCAAACTGATTGCTCCGCAACGGTCACCTGCTGCCTCCAACGGAAAAATGGACACTCCGGCACCAGAAACAATGATGTTGTGGCAAAAGTTGGGACTTGTGAATGTTGCACCTATGGATGCCTATGGCAACCCAATGCGCGCCTGCCTGTGGTCTACAAACGAGGGGCAAAGCAAATTGGTGTTTGCTGCTACGCAAAAGATGCTGTGAACATCGAAGCCTGGCTTGTTGCCTTGCCTTGGCTCCGCCCGTCACCGTCGCCGAATCTGGGGCTCTCCACGAACTCTTCCAGTGGCGCCAGCATAGCACATCACCGCACCAACGCAACGCGGGACCTCGCGGAGCCGAGCACGACGGTCCTTCCGTCCGCGAGGAAGCACCGATCCCAAACGCGCCCCGGTGTCGAGGTCGACCGGTCGTCGACCTTTTTCCACAGCGAGGAGTGGGTTTTTGGGGGTTTCCATGATGTTCCATGTGGTCTGTGCAGGTGAGTATGTGTAAAAATATACTTGTTTAATCCCACCTGTGGGGGATTGGAGATGGAGAGCGAATCGGATTCTGCCGGCAGGGTCGCTTCGGAAAAAAAGGGTATCGGATTCGACTCTGATTCCTGAGAGCCCGAGTCGGAATCGAGTCTTCTGCGACTGTTGACTGTCAAAAGCTATCCAAACACTGATTCTGGAAGGGTGACACCGAGACGCTGATTTGCTATGTGGGCAGAATCTGACTCGGCCCTCTTGAACTTGATTCGTGATGCTGATTCTGCTAGCAAAAAGCGCTGATTCAGAAACGCCACGCTTCGCTACGCCACGCTTCGCTATGCCAGAAACTGACTGGACCTGGAATCCGGAGGGGGTGAGCTAACAAGTAGCTAGTAGTAAGGAGTAAGCGCTATAGCCAAGAAGCTAGGCCCGGTTTGGATGCAGAAGGGCTCAGACTTCATGAGTTGGTTCGGTTCTTTTTTTGAGTCAGCTATGCAAGGGCCCAAACACCGAACCACAAGTGGGAGGACTGTCTGTAAAGCACGGGTAACCCCACCAAGCACCTAAGACGATACCCTTGTTGGGGTCATCTACCAGACGCCACTCTCTAGATCCATCTACCAAAGCCTCCTGTCCTCAATTCCGAGATGTTGTAAGTTGCACGGACAGCCAAGGTGCACAAAAGCGTCTTCAAGTCGTCGATAATAATGCCTGAGCACTGGGCACCCAGGCAAGCTTGGAAATGAAAGGTGCCTTTTCCATGCAGAAAATGTCGACAGTTTCAGTGTCCGTTCGAAAGTCTCGTTCATGCGTCGCGATTCGCTTGCAAGATGCTCAGTGAGTAGATTTCGCCTGCCAAGTGAACAGGAAGGTACCTGGAACCGACATCTGGCGACCAATACCGCCGCTTTCGACTCCCAACGTGGAAATGCCGTCACCGAACGAGACCGTCGTTGTCATTTGGGAGAAGCAATCCGAGCGAGAAAGTCAAGGTTGTAACACCAAGATCGGTCCCAACCACACCGGAGTGGCGCAGTGCCGATCTTTCAAAGGAAGCATGAATTAAGAAGACTCTCAAAGACCCAAGTGAAAAGAAATATTGATAAACATGGATCCTGGATCGACATCAACTGGGCTTGTGCTGCTTTCAAGGAGGATTGAGGTCAGGTCACCGGAGACACCTGGGCCCAACCAAATCCATCAGTTGTGGGGTTAGGTTCCCCCTGTGTTTCGAAACCAACCTCACGGAGGCTTAATTTGAGAATGGGGCGACTCCAAGTGGAGCACTCCCATCTTCCCCCCCCGCGGACAACCCGGTGCACCCTCTGAAAAGGTGTCTCGTGCACGACCTGTACATACGAACTTCTTCGACACAAAAGGTGCGACGCGCCGACAAAACTCGAGCTCCCTCAACGGCGCCTCTCAAGGGTTCCAAGCTAGGCCTCTTCGGCCCAAAGAATTGGATGCAATGACCCGAACAGGAAATCAGGAACAAGGGGTCAGTGCCAGATTACATACGGACTCTCGGAGGGGCCAACGCCCCTGGCTCACGGTCTCCCGGCACCTGATCCCCCTTTCGACGCCTTCGGAGCCCTTCGCCCTTCCGGGGCACTGCTGTGGCACCGTCGGGACCCGCGGCCGCAGGGAGACGCGATGCTTGGAGGTCCTCTCCTGAAGCCGCTTCGGCGTTGGTGTCGGTGTCGTTCGATGTTGAAGAGGTGAGAAGCAATGAGCGAAGACACGGTGCCGTTTCTGGCAGGTCTTATCTATTATAGGTGTTTTCTGCGCCAACATCAATCGATGTTCTCTTTGTTTGATCAAGCAAGCAACCCATCGTCTTGAAGCCAACATGTTTGCGCATGCCTCCGTTCTGGGGCTGCTGGCCACAAGCATCTCGTACTCCCTAGCGCGAGCTCAAACGTATTTCTTCCAGGGGGGTACATGCAGAAAAAGCGTTGGCAATCTGTCTCAACCTCAAGCACACGTGGACCTTGAACATTTACAAATATTTACAATATTGGAAACAATTGCACATCTCAAAAATGCTGATGCTCTTCAAAGGAAGTAGAAGCACGGTGATACCCAATAGATATGCAGAAAAGTTCGCAAAACCAGTGCACACACCAGCACTGGCTTCACTGTTATATAGCAAGTTTCTGAGTGCTCGGCTTTTGGGGGGTCTCCTTCACCTTGGCACAGTGCCCCAGCGTCTGATTTCTGAGGACGTAGTGACGCAGATTGGAAAAAATAGGATTCGATGGTCTATCTTCGCCAACAGGCAACCGCCACAATAGATAGTGACTCCGATAAATCTACATGATTCGTTTTCGATGGAACTTCAAGACTATATACATTCGAAGTGAATCCCAGTGGGGACCACTATCCTGTGTCGTCTTGACTACACAGAAGGAACCACGGAAGTTCAAATGCTCGCTTTGGCGTTTGACCCAGCTCTCCCACCTCCGGCTGCTTCGAATGCACCTCTTCCATGTCTTCGTACTCCACCTCACCAAGATGGCCAATCTTCTGTCTCAAAGATGTCTTGTTCCGTCAACCCGGTGCTGATTTGGGCTCCCGTCTGAGATCCACCCAGACTGTCCTCCAACTTTGACGATCGCATCATGCGTAGCAAAACAGCCCCAGGTGCCCCAGGTGCCCTACCAGCCCTACCAGCGACCCATCGATCCCACCCAGCTCGCACCGGGGCACCACCAGCTCGGACGGCGCCAGGCGCGTCACCCACGCGCGGCGCTTCCCATCCACCAGCACCTCGGACCGAAGGCTGCGACGATCCGCGGAGACGGCGGAGACGGATCGGAGATGGGAGCCTGGCAAAGCCCGGTTTTCGTGCGGCTTTTTCTGAAAGGTTTTCGAAGGGAAAACACAAAAGGAGGAGCGAGAGCAAGAGCGAGAGAGCGAGAGCGCGAGAGAGCGAGAGAGCGAGAGGGCGAGAGGGCGAGGGCCAGGGCGAGGTAATGGCGAGGGCGAGGGCGAGGGCGAGGGCGAGAGAGAACATAAGTAAAATAATGTAAAATATATAAACAAGTATATAAGTAATACACCATGTATATAATAATTTAATAGAAAACACACAAAAAGAAAAGGGGGAGAGGGTCAAGACATGGGAGGATGTCACCTACCACTTTCTGTGGTTCGGGCATCTCACGTCCTTTTTCAATCACAAAAGAATTCCAAAGGTCCGAGGCTCCCACACCAAAAAGATCGATCTATGCCCAAAAAAAGTGCCCAAAATCGTCCTGGCTCTGGAGAGTTCCCTCTGTCTCTGAAGGCGCTCGGGTGGCCATCAGCCGAGGCGCCAAATCTCCAGGCTGCACCTCAGTGCTGGGACAACCTTCTCGAAGGAGCGTCTTGCCCTCTCCATCCTTGGAAACGATGGTTTTCCGCCCGTCGGAGTTGGCATCGGTCACCACTTTTAAGCAAAGAGGTCATTTTGGCAGTGATGGTTTACAGTCTACAGGTTTGTTGCAGATCAACCAATCCTGCATACCAATGCTGGCAGGCTTAGCAGCTTAGCTTCTCCAGGGTGAGTGACGAGATTCGGGACACAGCCAGCCCAGCAATTTTTTTCAGGGCCTATCCGATCCAACTGGCCAGCATTTCCGTGCTTTTCCTCATCCGTGCTTTCGATGGCCCGATTCCAGCTTGATCCTCAAGCAACTGTACCTTTCCCATCCTTCCTCAATCTGGATCGACCAAGGCCCCAACCGCATCGCTTGGAACAGCGGGGAGGTCCTGAGATCGAAGGTCTGGAGATCGAGGTCTGGCACTTCACTCACTGGTTGGATTGAAGGCAATGGGCTTCAGAATATCTGAAAGTTGTTTGGAGAGACCTCAAGTCGGATTTCATCCATCAGCGGATCAACGTCAAGGTGTTCTTCTATGCCAGGCTCACTGCCTCTGATTATTGTTTCTGCATCGGAATATGCAGAGGGCAGGAAGGGCAGGGTGCATGTCTCACAAGTTATTGCGTGAAATCGTCACCTATTGACAAAATTATTCAGTTCTTGTCACCCCGTGCACCTGAGCACCGGGCGAAACTGACCCAATTGGATGCTTTCAGCCCAGTCCTGCCAAGAACACAATCAGAGTCGAAAGACGCCTAGCGAGTTCAATGTACGCTACATGTTCAGATTTTGAACAGATCACGATTCCTCATCTCTGTGAGTTCTGAAAGCTAAGTTAGGTTAAGTTTAGCCCAGTCCTGAGCCCGCAACAAAGGACAGTGCGTGTGTTTCCCACCCTCTCTGCAGGCTTGTCCCACCCCCCACAATCAGACACTCTCCACCCCTCCGAGAGCGCAACCTCCCAGCTGTTTCTAGAGTTCGTGAGAAAAACATCGAGAAACTAGTGACGTAATGCCCTTTGTCACGTTCCTAGCGATGCCCGGAGCGATGCCCGGAGCATCGTCGCGTTCTTGGCCCGGTTCGTAGGTTCTGCCAGGAGCGCCCCGTTCGTAGCGTCCGAACGCTCCGTTCGTAGGTTCTGCCAGGAGCCCAATCCCCAAGCATCCATCCCCCTCCGTCCCCATCCCACCCATCCTTTCCATCCCACATGGCAGCCCCCCCCCACAGCTGTCACAGCTCCTTAACTCTCCCAGTGTGAGCCGTGGCTTCCCATCTCTGAAGCAGCGCGCCGCAAAGGACCGGAGCTCCCGCTGGTCGCACACGCAGCCATTGGTGTCCAGCACCACCCGGTCGATAAAGGCCACCATCTGCTCCTCAGGGCAGTGGACCGCCCAGTCGAGAGGCCACCCGGCAGTCGCAGCCGCGAGCGGCGGTCGAAACGGGTGGACCGCCCCCGAAGGCCGCGGGGTCGAGCGTTGGATCTGGTGGGTTCTTTCGTTGGAGCAAAGAGGACACGGTGGGAGCTTTTGCGACAGCTTTGTGGGATGTGAATGTGAGATCAGAGCTTCGTTTTTCCGGCTCGCCAACCCACACGTTGGTCGGTTCTCAAGCTGAGGGGCAGTGTCTCGCCACGCCGCCGTGCGAACAAATCCTGATTCGGGCGAGTGTGAAAAACACTGAAACGGTTAGCTGGCTTGGTGAGTAAAAATTGTCCAAACCCCTGGAAGCTTCAACTTAGATATGAATTTGCGAAGGGCACCCATGCAAAACGAATCACATCCAGCTTGCTGAGTGCAAGATCTGAAACATCACCTCAAATCCCTTCGAGATCAGTTCAAGCTGTTCGGTGATCGGCGTCCAAGCCTTCTTGTGTTAGGGGTGCATTGGTGCCACCTTGAAGCATAAAGGCCCTGGCGGATGAGATCGACCTTAGCTGAGCCACGGAACAAACAGCAGTGAACTGCTGGATCCCTGTAGGGGATATGATTTGAGAGCCTAAACAGGTTGGACATTGGCTGACATTGGCCCAGTGAACTAGAGATGAGTCTTGAGTCGTTCAAAAACACTGAAACTCCACTCGGAGCATCTAAGAACCCTGCAAGAGCAAGTGGAGCAAAGCAATCACTCCGGGCACAACCGCCGTCCACAGCCAGAGATTTCGGGGATGCGGAAAGAGCGCGCTGTAGCAAAGAGGACCCGTCAAGGACACCAGTAGAATCGCCGACCTCAGCTATGTATCGTGTTTCTCAAGAAATAAAAACGAGATGAAAAAGAAGCTCTGCAGCAAAGAATATGCTCTGAGGCACAAGATGTTGGAACGCCAATGCAAGATGTAGCGGAAGAAGTTCGCTGTAGAGCTCACTGCATCCTGGTAAGTCCACAAACCAGTTGCCGCTAAATGTGAGGATCCCCGCAGTGGCTAACAAAAGTACTTTGAACCCTTCATATGGCAGTGAGTAAAACAGGGGGACTCTGGTTGACCAAACGAGCCCGGCAAAGCTCCACGTGTTGGCCCACCAGTCCACCATGGGGATGGGTCGTGACCCACCTGAAGCCCGACTAGTCCACCATGTAGCGAGTTCGACCAACACCAGGTTTGCCAAACAAGGTATCCTGGTCTTGGCTCACTGCCATTCTTGAATCCAGTCATCTGGATCCCTCTTCAAGACTGCTCACCGCTCGCCTGCAGCACTTGCTGCTTCACATCAATCACATCGTCCCAAAGATGCTGCAGGTGGAAGTCGGAGTCGCTGTCTGCCTCCACGCGTCCGCGCAACCAAGCTGGACAGGATTCCAAGCTTTGGGTGATTAGCTGGACAAGTCACAGCCATGTGAGCTGTCAACATTCTTGCATGTGGTACAAAGACATCTCCCAATCCCACCTTGGTGGTCAATTTACCCAACTTGCTAGAAGGATGGCCATCACGCTCATCCTCCGTCTACCAGCGTTTACCCTGTTTCGACCAGGGTCACAGTAGGCGACCAACTCTCTCCCCAAATATGTGGGTGAGGATTCAATCGGGCAAAGCATTTGAATCACCGCCACTTGTGAAGGGCCTGCAAAATGCTGGTGCCATGGTGCACGCACGCCGGCTGGAGGGCCTTCGCAAAGAAGCTATCCTCAAAGAGCGGAAAAACAAGCCCCGAGGATGAGGCACAAACCAAATCAATAGTCAATTGGTTGGTAAAGTAATACCTTGGAGACAAACCAAACGCAACCGGGGAATGTATTGAAGCTGACAAAGTGACAAGTGAATTCTGATTTGGACTCGGCTTCTGTCTAGTGTCTAAAAAAACGAGTGCATTCGTCACCTATCCTCCATTTCTGGGCTGAAATGCTCTTCTGAGCCCAAAAGCTTGTGGAAAGAATGATCGTGTCAATCGTATCTGGTTCTCGGTCCAAAAAGGTTACCCGCAGTGAATGCCTGGTCTGTTTGCTTACTGAATGCCGACGGTCGGATCCTGGTTGCATCACAGTCAGTTCAAAAGGTTCCCCTCCCTCCCTCCAAGATTCTCTGGCACGATCCAGGTAGGACAACCGCAGTCGCAGAAGGATCCTTATATAGATCAATGTGGCTGCTTGGAACAGGACAGTTTTGCTGAGGGCCATGGTGGCCAATCCGCTGCTGTCCAACGGCTTACGACTGCGACTCAGGGTCTCTCCAGCATTCTCACGCTCCTCTGGTTTGATGGCCTGCCGAAAGATACAACAGATGTACGGGCAAATGCTGGGATTTCCGTCTTGTTACAGTAGGAAACATACCCCAAAACCCCCGCTTCACTTGTGTGACACGGGGTGGGGGGTCGTTTTTTTCACTTGCCTTTTGACTTTCACCAGCATCCAGCCCAAGGTGCGCTCACAGGATAGCCCAGACGGATCGGGAACAGACCAGGCGGTGGCTTCTTCCTCCATCCCCGATCTCGACAGACCAGTCCGCCTCTGAGACCTGCCGCTGCAGCTCCGCCGTGGACCTCCCCAAGTAGCTGGCGCAGCTGCCAAGGAAGCTCCTCGTGCCGGAGCGGAGAGAACAGCTGCCGGGTACGAAGCAGAACAGGAACCGGCGCCGAACGGGAACTGGAACGGGACGCCTCCGTGCACGTGATCATTCAGAAAAGCTCCCAGAAAACTCCCCGAAAACCACTCGCTCCTTTGTCCAGAAGTGTTCAAAGTGTCGTTCCCATCCTCAGCAGAGTCTTCAGCTCCATTCTTCCTTCTACTCAAACAAGCAACAGAATGGAACATCAATGGGTGCAAGCCAGACTTTGTGGCCTTGTGGTTGGGCAAAACAAGGAGAATGCAAACGGATGAACCTTCTAGCTACGACGCATGTCGTTGGTCACCTGCATCAAAGTATGAGTGGCGACATGATGTGTGACAATATCCCGTCGTGGTTGCAGCCGTGCCGCTGGTGAGAACTCTTGGGACTCCTGCCAAGATCAGAACATGACATATACAAACACCAAATCCTGACTGGCAACTGGATTTGTCTAAGTCGATAGGCCAACAGGTCCTGTTGAAGCTTCTGGACTGGCACTCTGGGCTTTCGAAGCCTCGAGGAAGGACGTGAGTGCAGGTGTCAAATTGGTAGTATGCAGCGCTAATCATGGATCTGTGTGAAAACAAGTGCAAGAGGCAGAACCTGTGAATTCTTCAACGCTCTTCCTAGTTAGTTCTATAATTGCAAGCTACTCATGGAAGGTCTCCTCCAGTTCAAGTTCCAAAAGATCTCACAAAAGACCCTCGCTTTTGACTCCAGCACCAAGTCCTATTTAATGGAGAGAACCCCCATCTCGAAAACCTGCAAAGCATGGATAGGTAGAGGCGGCAACGAAGCCTCCAAAAAGCTTGAACACACGGGAAAGAAAAGGTCCACTTCATGATGTGAAAGCCGTGAAAGCCAAATACTCTCCCAGCAGGCCCCCCTCACCTCCAAATCGATCGCCCTTCCGGCCTGGGCATCTGGTCGTCCCTGCGCTGGCAGTGTGTGGCATACCTCTCCCAGCTGGTGCGCTTCAGCGCATCGGGGTGCCGAAGCTCGAACCAACCAATCAGCTCCTTGTTCAGTGGCAAGTCGCCCAAGTTGATCTCTACGAATCCAATCTGGTGCCCTGCGCAGGGAATTCTGCAGGGAACGCGTCCGCAGAGAGCTCACTGAGCGGTCGGTTCCGCGTCCCCCCCTTCGCCCCATCGGCCCCACGTGTCAACGTGTGTTGAATCCGGGCCACGAGGTCGTGGGTCTGCCTCTTGCGTCACGAATGAACTCTTAGGTATGGCACAAATGCCCTCCATGTACTTAAATCAAGTCTCACCTGGGAGGTCATCGCATTTTAGAGGTTGGGTGTCTTCACTTGCGACCATAGTCCACATGCTGTTCGCCATGGCCACGGCGCTTCGCTGGGCTTCTGCCAAGGCTCGAGTGACCGCATTGGAGTTCCCGAAATCGACCACGTGCACCCGCAGCATGGAATAGGGGCAGGTGACATCCAACGATTTCTGGAACTTCCTCAGATCCACCCGGTCAGATCGACCGAACAACGATCTCACCCCTCTGTTGGTGTGTGATGGCGTAGGTAGGATCATGGCAATAGAACCACTCCAAGATCCCATGGAGATCCACACATTGATCACCTATCTTGTTGTATTGAGGCAGGCTGTTGAGGCTGTCTTTGTTGAGGGGCCTGGCTCCCCATGGCTGCCGTTGGACCTCATGGCTTCTCCCCAATGGCTGCATGGTCCGCCCAGTGGCCAGTCGGGGTCCCTGGTCCGCTGCTGGCACTTGGACTGACACACCAGTGTGTCGTCCAGGTAGACCTGTCACGATGGAGACCCATGGCTGAGTAGCTATGAAAAATGAATGCCGTTTTGGTCGCCGCTCGGTGGCTCCTTACCAGGCATGCTCTGTCTATATCACACAGATATATATATATATAGACTGAGGACAAATGTCAGTGGCGGGGTAGTATATATATAATATATATATATATATGTGATATAGATATATCTTTCCACTCGCCACATTCAGCACTACTTTGACAAAAAAAATCTTCCCATGGTCCTATGTCCGAGTGTAGCTCGTGCCTTCGCCGCTGCATTGCAGGTGGGCTGGAAGAGAGACGAGAGCTCATGGCAAGCGAGGTCTTTGCCTCTCACAATCGACAGCTGAAGTTGAGCTACTGCTCCCAGCGTCTCAACCTCAGCGTCGCTCTCTGCCCTCCACAAAAAACGGCCCCGCCCAGTTAAAAGTCAAAGGTTTTCAAACTGCTGGAGCTGAATTTCCACCAAAATCTCCACCGCTAAGGTCGGCTTGGCCAAAAAGAGCTAACCATTCGGTTTGAAGATCTGATAGTAGGACTTAGTAGGACACCAGCCACATCAATCAGTACATATCAGTACCATCCCATCTTCGCTTCTTCACTTCTTCTCCCAACTCGATCCATGCCCAGCGACGGCCCGTTCCGGTTGCCAAATGCACCTCCAGCGACATCGATGAAAGTCGTCCCTGGGTGCCTCAGTGGACGGCACCTGGGCGGAAAGGGGGACCGGCGACCGGGTGGCGGGCGACGAACACCGGGCGCACCGGTGGCATGGTGTTCCACCGGCGTGGCATGGTTCGTGCCATTTCTTAGAGGACTGGTTCGGACTACTGAAGTTGAGAGCTTGGTTGTCAGGCACAGCCAAAGTGATGTTTTTGAGGGTTCCTTGCAAAATCTCGGTCCATCTCAGAGACCCCAAAGCTTATCAACCGAGCCGCCTGTCGCAGTAGAGGCTGGTCCTGTTCACCCATTTCTTCATCGACCCAGCTCTGCGGAACCCCTCTCCGTCGCAGAGGGGCCGCCACCGGCCTGCCCGCCCGTTCCTGGCATGGAATTGAAAAGGTGAGTTTGGACCTTCTGAAAAGGACCCTCGTGCAACTTGGAAACCCACTGAACGCTGTGTAAACTCAACTGGAATCACCTCATGGTCCGGCCTGTCGGGACCAGGAAGGAGCCCGAAACGGAAGACATGTCACATGTCACCACCTCACTGACTGGGAATCAGACCTCCCATGTCCGAGGTCAAATGAGGTCCATGTCGTCCTCTACAAAAAGGGGTCCATGTCGTCCATCGCAGTGCCCCAGCTCAGCGGAGAAACCGGCCTTTCGCTCCCAAGCGGCTTCGACGTCCCCAAGCGTTAACGCGCGAGCTCGCTCCGGACGACCTCCGGGCTCCGTGGAGAAGGTGCTCTTCGGGGATCCTTGTTGGGATCCCAAAGGCCGGAGAGGCCCTTCTCCTCCCGCCATTGCTGCTTCCTCAGCTTCCCATCCGTCCTCCCGATGACCCACATGGTTTGGGAACGTTGGGTCACGAAAGCTTCAGGCAAACAGGAGCATGACAAGATCGACAGCAAGAACAAAAAAAGAACTGTATATTATTAATTACTATAATATATATATATATATATATGTTTTCATGTTATACGGCTCAAGTCGGACTTTTTTGCTTGGGAATTTTCAGTGACTGAAAATTCCCTTTGATGGCCGCAAGAACCGGTACTCTCGAAGAAACGCAACAACTTTTTGACCTGTGAAACATGTATAATTATATTCATCATTATTCCTCCATTTCCATGTGTGCCACAGTGCCAGAACCCGGGTCAAAAGGGACCCCCCGGTCCACCTGTGGGACAACCCGCGCGCCCAAACGGTCGGTTTAGCCAAGGATCTGCTCCTCCAGGATCCGCGGGTTCGACGCAAAGATGGTATTGGCCGTGCTGGCGAAGGAGTCCTGGGGACCTTCCACACGAGGAGAGGGCACCTCGACGGAGGGCAGGGCGCAAGTCGGGCGGAAAAGAGGGGAAGTCGAGGTGCGGTCAGGGTCAAAGGCCAAAAAAGTAATAAACATCCTGAAAGAGAATAGAAGGGCTGGGTCATCACCCCGCAGATGTGAGCTACTATCATGGTGATGTGTGTGTGTGTGTGTGCCTGTTTGACTCTTTTGGTATACACCCACAGGCTCGGCTAGGCGTTCAAAAACTTCCCCCTACAGGTTGCTCCCTTTTGCTTTTCAGAAGTCGGCAGATTGCGTTGTGCCTCTGCCAATTCAACAGATTGAAAGTTAAAGGTATTCCAGCCGAGCTTCCGCCATGGCAGCGCGCTCGCGGTGGTTCGCAGTAGCACGCACGCGACGGGGCGATGGTGGTGCTCGAAAGAATGAAGGCACGCACGAACGATCTGCAAGAGAAGGGTTTGGACTTCAAACAATTTTGGCTGCAAAGATTGGAAGGGTTTGGCTCACACCCATCGTCTGATCATATTGTCATCGTCGTTCCACCGCCGCCCGACCCAAGGAGAGCTGCTCCTTCTAGAAGCAACAAGCTTGGAGCCCGGTCGCACAGTCGCAGCGTGACGGTCTTTGGTGCGTGGATCTTTGCACCCCAAAACCTAGTAAACACCACAGTAGCCGCAACTCGGTCCGAAACGCGGCTTTTTCTTTGGAAAAGATCAGGGCACCAAACTCGGCACTCCATAGGTGTCCTTCCTTCCTTCCGAGCCGAATCTTTGTCTTAGAAGTACAAAGCTTTACAGTCGTGTTCAGCAAATGTCTTAGATGTTTCATGGGTGAACGAGATGTTTGGGGAAGCAAACTCCTCGTGCCATGGTCAAACGAAACTCCTTTGTGGGAGGATGGTCATCCTACGCTTGCCGAGGGAGTCGAATGGGGGTGAACAAAAGATTCCATTTAGGTGGACGGCTGTCCTTTTTAATCGGCAGTTCATTCTGAGATCCAAAAGTTCTGTCACAGAGGAAAAGAACTGACCTGCCTAGCTCGTGATGCGGACTGCTCATGATTGCCACACAGTCATAGTCGGGTGAGTGGCAGGAAACAAAGGGCGATGCAGCGATGCGTGCCCTTATATAGTTGTCATTAGAGTCATTAAAGCCTTCTGTCCCTAAATATGCATGTATATGCATGTATGTAAGAGGTTCTAGATCAAAATCATCATCCATTTTGATCATGCGGGCCCACATCTCAAACCAAACCCGCTTGAGATGCCGACACTCCGGTGGCTTTCCCTCGCCCACTACGAGCTCCAGGATCACCTGCACTGCTCTTCTAGCACAATTTCAAACTGTGATGATGGCCAGTCATTCATATGGTCATGGGTGAGTCTATCATATATAGGTGCATGAAGAAATCTGACATCAATGAAATCCACATTGGTGTCTATCTAGGGTCATCAGTCATCACACTTTTGGTCAGCTGCTTCACAACTTCGTGCCATCAGTGAGAGGAAAGTGCCGAGGCAAGTGAGAGGCCCGTCTTGCTTTTTGCGAGCTCTGGGAGATCGAGATCAGTTTTGGACGTTTCTTTCTGACGCTCCCCATTTCAGAGACATCTTTGTGACGCTCCCTATTTTGTGACGCTCCCTATTTCTTTGAGATCGAGATCTTTGTGACGTTTCTCATTTCAGGAGATGATAAGAATCCCATTATCTCGATCGAACGAGAGATCCACCCCCGACCGACTCCAGCGTCCACAAGCAAACGTCCGACCGTCGCCTGAAAGCTGAGAACACGCTCCTTGGAGTTGGGGGACAAAGCCAAGGCCTGCTTGGCATGGACCTGAGCAACCGCTGGAGCCGCAAACGCGCGTGCCGAAGACAAACAAAGAATAGAGGTATCAGGATCAAAAGAAAACTATTATTAGAATCAAAAAGAAAATATTCAGGGGGATCAAAAAGAAATTGTTACGAGAATCAAAAACATCTTATCACCTCTAGCCAGACCTCTAGCCAGACACCCTCACCAGCTGGTGACAGTGACACCCCAACATGTTGCGACTATGGTCTCAGCAAACCAAGCAAGCAATTAATAGTCTCTTGTGGCGACTTTGACCATTTGTCCAATGTGGAGCAGCTGGTGAAGGCACCCATATGGCCATATCATCTACATATGTTGCCAAACGCCTTCAGCAGCTGGTGACTGTGACACCCCAACATGTGACGGTGGTGGCCTCGGCAAAGGAAGCAAGTAAGGCTGGGCCATATCATCTGCGTGGCCCACTTTCGCAAACCCTGCCATACAGGGGGTCTCCTGCGGCGACTTTGACCATTCGCCCAATGTTTAGCAAGGTGGTGAAGGCAGCCCTATGGCCATATCATCTACCTATATGTTGCAAAGCGAAGAGGAAGGTGGATAGTCCGCAATAACAAGCACTCTTCATGGTCTCAGCAAACCAAGCAAGCAATCAATAGTCTCTTGCGGCGACTTTGACCATTTGCCCAATTAATGTTTAGCAAGGTGGTGAAGGCGCCCCATATGGCCATATCATCTACCTATATGTTGCAAAGCGAAAAGGAAGGTGGATAGTCCGCAATAACAGGCACTACTTGAGTCCACTTGTTTGGCAAGCGGTGGAGGGCGGCCCATATGGCCATATCATTGCGTAATGCAGGCGGAGGTGAGTCATATAGGTGGAGGTGGGGTGGGCCATGCCATAAAGGAACAGCAACGTGGACCCGAAGCAGAAAACGTGATGATCTCGGACGGTATTTGAGACGCATTGAAACCATGAGTGGCAAAATCAAATTCACCTCAGGCACAAGAACTTCCTGCGCAGTACCTTTTGCGCGTCGCTTTTGATCAGGGCGGCAAAGGGCGAATCCCCGCAGCAGCCAGGCGCAAGTAGGACTTCGTCTTCTGGCAGCTGCTTGCCTGAGGACAATGACTGTTTGGTCGCGCGCAATATGCGCAACATAATGAATGCAACGGAGGCGACTCGCGACTTGACTTGACAGCCGTCCTTGCCGTCTGCTGGCAATGGTGGAAGGTCCTGGATGGAACAACCACAGCGGCGTCTCACGCGCTGGCATGCACTGATCCAACATGTCCTTGGGCTCTTCGAAGCTCGTGTCCTCCACATCGTCGTCCAAATCCTGACATCCAAATAGCAACAAAGTCACAACTACTGCGCGGTACCATGAACCTATACTCCATCTCCAAACTGATACACTTATCCGAGAAGTTGCTATAGCGCCATGTCTGTAGCATGCTTGGAGTGCCAGCACCACCTTGCATGGGTGGAAACTTGGCTTCGAATGCTCCCCCTATACGCTTGCCAGGTTTTTGGAGCGAATTGGCGACAAGACAAAGACGAAGACAGCTCGGCACTCGCACACACTGGCCATATGACTTTGAGAACCTGCACCTTGCATTGGAGGTAAGTCCTCATTCTGCACTGCAGCAGGCCAAGTTCTCGCTGGCACCGAAAGCTTGCACAGGGTCTGGGCACTGCGATCAGTCAGAGGAAAGCGATGAAACTCCAGGCTCCGACCATCACTCGAATTAGGCAGGCGACGTCCTGGGCGAACTTCACCTAGGCCCATGTCTGCCAAGCTTTGCAACAACTTCGTTCTCTCGTCTTGAAAGGCGGCCCCCGACAACGAAGAAATGCATTTCCCAACATCAGTCATTGTAATCGGATCTTTGGGACACGAACTCAACAGCCGACTGGGCAAAGAACGAGGTTCCCACTTTGACGACAACGGATTGGAAGCAATGGATGTCATGACTTCGGTGTCCACCATAGTGCAATCACGAACCACGCGCAAATCAAAATGCCTCATGGCACATTTGATTGCATTGTCAGGCAGAGCACCGGCACGGTGACCAGACAGCGCAACCAAGCACGCTGCACGGGGGACATGGTATTCCATCTTGCCTAAATTAGCAGCCTTGCCGGCGGAGCCCCATCCGCCCTCTTCCTCCAAGTCGTTCAATTGATAATACAACTGCCTGCAAGCCGATGTTGTCAACAAGCCACTTGGGGGCGCGAGGGGCCCCAGTGTTTGGAAGTCTCTAGCCACACACTCTCAAGTAAAGGCAAAACAATGGAAGAATCCAACAAACCTGTCTCACGGTCGACAATGGCCCCTGCTTGTCGGTGTCATTAACATGCGAGCTGAAAAGCCACACTGGTGGTTCTGCTCCACTTTCACCCACCATTTCCGAAACAAGGCAAACTGCTGCAAGAGACAACTTGTTCACGTTTGTTGAAGGGAAACCAAGGGAGGCACCGACTCACTAGCCCGATTTCCCGGCTCTTCTCCTCCGCCCCAGTCCCCCATTCAAAGGTGCCACCATTGGCACACTCGAGCCACCTGGTTAAATCCAAAAATGCCGACGTCAACCGTTTCTTTCGTTGGGAAGCTTGGGTCCAAGATTGGCTTTGCTTTGGGGCCCCATAACAAGAGAACACCTCAGGCGCTCTTGGATCCCGCCATTGTTTCCAACTCCAATGAAATGGTCAACCGGGTAAAACAGATGTCGGTTGTTGGACACCAGCGCCGCGAAAGCTTGCCGAATGATGGAGCACGTGGGGACTTCCCTGCGCTGGGGTCTCCAGTGGGGCGCGACCACCAACGGGCTTTGCACTTGAAGGTTTTGGACTTGTCAGCATACAAGGCAATGGCAAGGTCTTTGCGCTGGCAAGATGCTAGACATGCAATTGGAACAAGTCGTAAACGAACAACCCTGGAAGCCCCCCGCAGCCCTTGTGTAAAAAATGGCATGCGACTGCCACGGGCAAAGTTGTCATATATCCTAGAGACGCTGGCATTTTTGCAGCTTCCTCCACATGAAGCTTCTCGGCACGGACTGCACGAAGGCCGTCAACGGAATGCTGCAGCACTTCTTCGACTGAGTGCTCTTGGATGTATTGGGCATACATGGGCAGACGCTGCCAAAAGCTCTCGCCATAAACCGCCGCACCATGACTATTGGCAAGCATCATAAAGTAGTGCTCCACTTCGAGTTGGGTGTCTTCCACAAAACACGGCGGCGACATGGGCCTTTCGACCAAGACGTCTGGTAAGGTCTCTGGCAGTGGCAGTCGGGCACTGTGAAGGCTCTGGCTCACAACCATGACCCAAGTCAAGCACATCTGGCATCAAATGAGGAAAAAACGAACTGCGTCCGACTTCACCTTCAGGTTCTGCTGCCCAGGAAGGTGGTAGAGGAGGCACACGAACTCTGCAAGAGCTGGATGACGCGGCACCCCCAACAGGCGGCATTCACAGCGACTGGGTGGAGCTGCGCTGCCTGACGTGCCAGAACTGTTGGAATGCCCAAGGACTTCAAGGTCTC